TATATGTTTATTCAGAGAAAGTACGTTTTTGTGTCTGATTTCGTAACTTAATTAATAGTTAGCACTAATTAATTAGCATATTTGAGGTCACCCCCAAGAACCATTAAGATTGACACTTAGTTCGTGAAAATCCGATCATTAGAACGAAAGTTATTCAGGGTGATATCTTTTTTTTGCGGACTGTACAAGTCCGTTGTGCATGGCCGAAGCCTTGGCATCCGTAGCACTGCAACGGTCCCCGACCACCGCGAAAACGTTCCACTCTGAAAGCGAATCGCTGGATCTTACCTATGGTGAGAACATGAAGATGATTGGCCGTCTCTCTAATGATTGCGAGGAAAAGTGGGAGGAGCCAATAGGCCTTGTTCTCTCTCTTCTTGAACTGGATTATTTTGACCAATTGTAAGTCCATTTTCGCTATTTCTAAAGAAATGTGATCTGGATTGAAGTCGGCTGAGAGTCCACGAATAAGAGCTTTGCAGTTTCTATCAGATGTAGCCGGAGAAGCTGCAATGGGAGGCCGGGTAGATGGATCTATATCGGAGTCTACTTTGGTTTGAGATAGTTGTAAGAAAGCTCACTGAATAAAGTGGTAACTAAACAGTAAGATGAAAAAAATTTTACAATTAGAGTGGTGGGTAATTTACAGGCGACAGTTTTGACTGACAGTCACCTCTCGAGTGCAAACGGTTAAAAGTGATTGAGAGAAATTTATCATATATATTTGAGAATTGAATCTGTAGTGGCTTGCAAGTAAGTAAGACAAACCTATCATAATCATAAATGAAAAAAAATTTAGACTTATATTTCCCACCACTTTCTTATTTCTACTAGATTTTGTATAAAATGGCTTTAAATTGGTTCGTCTTCATAGTGGTCAGATCGGACAACCTATAACATACCTGCCAACTTTTAATCCTTTCGAGGATGATTTTCCGCAGTGGTAGTGGAACGGAATTTAAATTTTAAATTTAGGCAGAAGCATACGCGACATTTCGGAAAAGCTATGCGGACTACTACAAAAGTATTCCACATTAATATATATGCTAAATTTAATTTTAAAAATAGTGGTGGTCAAAAAGATTATAAATTAAGTTTATAAATGCAAGGAATATATGGAAAACATGCATTTTACTACCACTTTAAAGATAGAAATAAAATTTTACGGCAAATACGTAAAAGTTGTCACGTATGCTATAAGAAACTGCATGGAGGCTTTCAATTGCAGGAGGCGTTGACTAAGATCCCATTTCTTCTACAAGACAAAATTTTCTATAAAAAATCGCAGTTCCAGAAAAGATTTTAAAAAAAATTGCGGTACATAAAAGGTATACAAGTAATTATTTTTGTTATTATCCTTTGGTCTGCTGTGTTTTGTTACAAAAAATGTTAAAATATTTAAATTCATAAAAATAACTATGGAATATAAGTAATGTGTTGAACTATAAAGAACTTCTGCGTAGTGTTCTAATATGTATATATTTTCACTGATCTTCGAGTAAAAAGATGAAAACGTATAGTTAGAGATAAAATAGGATGGAAAAAGAAGCTGGGCGTTAAAAAATAAAAGTTTCCATATGTTATGCATGCCACAAGTTTTAAAAATGGGTGTTCTCTTCATTGCCATCCCCATTCATCGAAAATTTACCAGTGATCAAGATTTATTTTAATTTTAAATTCAACCTCTTGCAATCAGGTTTGAAACAACGGGTTCAAACACTAAAAGCTTACAAAACAGAGCTCATTGTTTACACATTTACCATATAATTCTCGAAGATATTGAATTGTCATAAAGTTCGAACTGGTAGTATGAGGTCTCAGATTTGCCATTTTCCCATTCATCTTGAAATATCGGACTTTGTCATCACCTCCTACATCAAAGAGCCTCCACACGGTATTTTATAAACAGTCTGCGCCGACTATTTAAAAAGTGAATCAGTTGTGAGCATGAATCCAAATTTTATTTTAAAAGTAATTGAGAGAAATTTGAACCCGTAGTGGTTGATAAGTGAATAAAACAAACCAATCATATTCATAAATTAAACAAATTTTTAGGCATATATTTAATACCACTTTCTTATTTTTACTAGATTTTGTATTAAATGGGTCTCTTTTGGTTTGCCTTCATAGTGGTCAAATCGGATTACCAATAAGAAACCGTGTGGAGGCTTAGGGATGGGTCAATAAGGTAACAGGAATACAAATAGGATGAAGGGTCGGGAATCAACGGTACTTCTCCTTAAGTGGATCTAGATCAGTGGTTCTTGAACTTTTTTGCCTCGCAGACCCCTTGTCATGTTTTTCCATTTTGTTATAGTGCTACTCACTGTGAAAGATTTAAATTTCCAACTGTAGTGAAGTGTATTGTGAAAAAAACATGTTATTTTATACATTAATTAATTAAATTCAAACTAATTTAATTAACATGTAAACGGAATAAAATAATTCCACTACAAAGCCCGTACTCCGCTACTAATATTATAATTGCGGAAATAAGTTTGTATATAAAACCGTAGTAGTGTATTGTCGGTCTGTTAATTGCGTTTTCACGTAAAAACTATGTAACAAATCTCCGTGATCTTGTGCACAGATTAAGTTGGAAATCTAGCCAGCTAAAGAGTTGACACAGGTTAGGCTACAATGTATCGCAGGCAACTGCTAGTTTAGATTAATTCAGTTTCATATATCAAAAAATAATCCCTATAACTTAAATTTTAATAAAATTTTCACTTCATAGCTACTTTTATAAATTATGTAGAATGTAGATAGATATATGTCTTTATGTTAGAAGGTAGTATAATGTAAGTAAACTGGTACTATCAGTGTATGTTGATCATTCCATTCATGAAATGCCAAAATTAAAAAGTCACGACCTGCTCATATCGCTGGTTTAAAAGTAAAACGACACATCTGCAAACGTATTATACCTGCAGATGTGTCGTTTTAGTTTTGAAGCAGCGATATGAGATCCACTATTGTGACCTCCATTTTCATTTCATGGACCCCCAATTTTTTTTTCATTTCACACGGACCCCTTGCAGGATGTCGTCGACCCCTGGGGGTCGATATAGACCACTTTGAGAATCACTGATCGAGATGAAACTGTAAGGTTAGCAGAATCAAAACAATGCATTAAGATTTAAGATTAAGATTTACAATCGATGAAGAGATACAAATAATGAGCATACGCGAATGATGACTATATTCAAATGAAGACGACTATTTACATATGATGTTGAAGGGTTAATATGTGTTGGCATGTGCAATAGGTCTAAAATTGGCATCTTTAATATGCCAGTTTTTAAAATAACGATTGTTAAAAAGAAAGGTTGAAAAATTTTAACTTTCAGAGTTGTAGCAATTTCACAGTTACTGGTGATTGAGAGTCTCCTATCCAGTGCAAAGGGGTGAAGGATTTTTCTCTCTGATTTAACACTAGGTTTATAGACGTTTCTTAGATACCTATCTCTACAAACACGCGTCAATTTGACGCATGAACGAATACATATAACAGCACTCACAGAGATGCCAACTTGCTCCGGAGAGCAAATATATATTTTAAAGTGGAATTTTATCAATTGTGATGTTTGGTTTAATAAATTCAATCAGTAGATTTTTATCCACCACTATTTCTAAATAATTCAAAGGATTATATAATCCAGCATTTTTTTATATGCTAAATATACTTAGTAGTTATTTACCGTTTTTTAAAATTATTTTTTGAGTGTCCGGAGTAATTGGCATCCCTGCACTTAGAAAGCAACTAAATTATATACTATAAGAAAAAAAATACAAATATGAGATATATATTTATGAAATATTCTAGTATTTTATTTTTCAATACTCGAACTAAGCAACTGAAACCTTCAAAATCTGACATTCTGCCTTTGTTCTTTCTATAAATGCTTACCGGCAACAGTTGTTTATCGCTTGTTTCATTTGAGATAACGATATCGGATCGAAGTATTGTCTTTACATTCCTACTTATTATTGATGTGATGTTTGCATGTTTATTCAAAATTTTGTCTAAATTATGATCTTTTATGATCTAAAATTATGATTATGATTTTGTCAAATTGACCCATATCCGTAGGGATAGGTATGCCTCAAAGAGAATTTCAACATTTCAACGCTTTTGAAGAAAATAGACTTCAATATATATTTACCTCGATCAATGGATAAAAGTCATTACAAGAGATAAAATAAAAATGCAAGCGGGTATTGTAAATTTCCTTTTAAAATTCGAAATGCGTCAAAATGACGCTCCCCGTAAACCACTTCAAAATTAATTTTCATTATTCTTCTCGATTAAATTCATATTTGTTTAAGAAGATTATAAATAATATAAATGCAAACTGGTGTGTCGCGAGGGTGAACTTCTTAATGTAAATCTTAATCAGGAATTATGTTCTTCTATTCGATATTGATTGAAACTAATGAAAAATGTGGGATAGCACAATATTTACAATATTTATTATTTTTCCCTTTGGTTTGAAACAGACAAATTCTAAATAGAACTGCCAGCATCTCAATTTCCATTCGTTGGACTTCTGATGTTGTAGAGAGAGACATTATAATTGCGTAGAAAAAGGGGATTTTTCCACTATTATTATACATCGTCTATGGATGGTTACTTTTTCATTTATACAAAGCATATTTTTTATTAAAAAAATGATGCGTGAGATTTTAATGACAAATTTATTTTCAGATGAAGAGGACTTTCATCCTTGCATGGATGATATTTTTCTTCTCAGATTTCTGCGAGTTAAAAAGTTCAAAACAGACAAAGCGTTCCAATCTCTGAAGGATTATTATGTGTACAAAGCTCAGTATTCTGGTATTATTTCCGATCGCTTACCATCTGATATAAGACACGTCTTTGAACACGGAGAATCTACCATACTGGAACACCGGTATAAAGATGGCGCTGGAGTATTCGTTGCTCGTGTGGGTAATTACATCATTTATTTATTCTTGTATTCTATATGAGCTTGTTTTAATCAATTTCGAACTACTGTCGTGAAAACACGAAAATGAATATAGTGATGAAAGTGCGTGCATTTCAATGAAAAAAAAAGAATGAGTATTTATGGTCTGACGAATTTCGTGCTTTAAAGTGCTAGCTACGAATTTAGTTTTGAAGGGAGTGGGTATATACGAGGTGTTTTTAAAAAGTAAAGATACTTAACTGTTTGCAGCAAAAGAAAAGCTTATATGAATCCATTGGAAACACGCACTGTATCCTTGACCATACCGCTTTTCCATCGAGCTCATTTCTTAATTTTATGGTGAGCTATGTTTGAGCAGCACATACTGACCGAAACTTTCACTTATTCCTTAAAAGACATCTTGCATGATGAAACTTTCACAATGATACTGAAATAAAAACTGAAGTAGAAATGTGGTTCCGCCAATATGTGGAAATGCCATGACTCAACAAGGATCCAAAACTGCCAAATACAAAAGCTTGTACCCAGACTTAACAAATGCTTTGACAATGGCGGAAACAATGTCAAACAATAAGGCATGCACCAATAAGTAATTTGTTATGTACATTTATCAATTAAAAAATCTTCAAGTGAATATGCGGCACTGTATCTTTACTTTTCGAAAACCCCTCGTACATACACAGGGTATGGGAAAAAATATGGAAACATTTCTATACAAACTCTATGTAAACAATCTATTTTTTTTCTTGGCCAATGTTTTGGAAGATTTTGCATAGCAAAATAATTGGTATAATTTTAAAGATCATGCTTGAAGCTATAAAAAATGGTGTCCTTTTTACCCATGCAAAATTCAGATTCAACAAAATGAGGAAGTTAATATCTTCAATCTAGCTTTTATACCAGTTTATTTATTTCCATAGAATTACGATACTCGTATAAGAATGCTTTTACAAGTAAAATTGTATTATGCGAGCTAAAATCATTTATTTTCTTGCGCTCACTTAGGCCGATGTAAATTATTCTGCATGGATATAAAGGAAAATTTCTAAACATTTCCTTTGAAAAAAAAAACTTAACAAAAAAATTGAAACAACTTTAGTAAAAGTTACCCATAAACACTATAGTGGTATATTGTACTAAAAAAATTCCAAATTGCTTTAACGCGAGTGTACTAAAATTATTACACTTTTCTTATCAAAATGGATATCCGATTAAGATTTACAGTCATTTTTTTTTTCGTTAACGATCATAATTAGTCAATTTTGAATGGCAGAACATAGTTCATTTATGTTAATGAAACGATTTTTTTTTTTTAAATTACCTATCAGCTAACCTAATAAAACTTAGGCTTTGCCTGTTTGTGGGTCTCTTATAAATCCAGAAACATTTGTTCTATCATCCTGAAATTTGGATAGCGGCTGTAAGGGATAAATTCAGCCATCGTTCCTAAAATTCGAAATTTTCTATTAGTTGGTTCAGTAGAGCCGTTTGAAACAATGGAATTTTTCATTGGCTTAGAACTTGCCATTTATAGCAGTTGCATTATTACAGCTGCAGACTATTGTCCTTCCTTCAAATATTTTTAAGATTACATCAGTGATATTTGCTAGTTTATATGTGATTATAGTGAGTTTGCTAGTTATAAAAAAAATAAAAGTAATATTTATTTTAAATAGTTTACAAGGGAAATAAAATATTTTAAAAATTATTTAAGGAGGCATATACACCTAGGTAGGTCGGAAAAAGCGTTTTTTTTCTCTTCTAATTATGTTCTTCACTGCTTCAAGAATCATAATCCAAAAGATTAAAACGAAATACGTCATTGTTTAATGCCTGTTATACCCATCAATCAACATGTTGTTGAGAATTTTAATAACTCTGCCAGTTAGTGCAGCAACAGCAGAGCGACCCTTTTCAACTCTTCGACGTCTCAAAATTTGGCTTAGAGCAACTCAAAATCAAGAACGATTAAATGGACTTGCTATTACACATTCATTGAGAAATTGATTTGGATGTTGAAAAAATCATTGACAGACTTGTCAAAGTTTCTAAAAAATGCATTGCGTTTATTATTTAAAGATTTTGAATACTTGAATTATTTATGTATTGTTCTATTGTTCATTATGAAAAAAATAAATGAGAAGACTAATAAATGTGAGACCGAAGAAAAATAAATGTGAGACCGTCGAAAGGAATAAGTAATTGAGAAAATCACATGATTATGGAAAATTTTAACTGTCATGTTTTGGCCTCGAGCAAATGCATCTTGCCAAAAGATACTGATTGCAGTTAATCTTTATTTTGATGCGTTTAAATACTAAAAAAGATTGTTTAATCCAATAGCGTAAAACCACTGACAAGAACAGGAAATAATAATAAATAAATAAAAAAGTTTTGATTATTTTAGTGTGTGGATTTGGGTTTTTCAGTTTGTGTATGATTTCGTAATGTTGTTCTGTACTGATTAACTGATAGTTTAATTTTTTCCACGTATGGAGAACGGCTATTTAGCTAGTAAACAATTTAAGCAAGTGATTTCAAATACCTTTCAAAACCCTAATATGGAAACGTTATTTTTGCGTTATTATTATCTACATCCTTTTAATAATGTTCATTTGAGTTTTGGAAGCTAAAAATAATAATAGAGAACGTTCAACATACCTTAACGACGCTCAATTTTGATTAAATTATAATTTAGAGAGATACCATTGGGTAACAAATTTTCCTTCGTTTTATGTTGCATGAAATTTTCTAATTAATCTTAGATATTTCCGCGTCGCAGATATCAAATCGCTAAATAAGCTACAGGTTTCTTTTTTGCAATTTATTTATATATTCCTAATCAAGATTTTTTAAAACTTACTCTACTTTAAACAAGATGGCTACATTTCTCTTTTACGTAGGAAGAAGGGAAGCGATAATACAATGCGGATTAAGTTTTTATGTTCATCAAGGTCATACGTTTTTTGTTGTTGTCCTAAATGTTATTTTTAAAGTTTGTTAGTAGATAAACATTTGCGTTTTTATTAGTTTGTACATTTAACAACGAATAAACTAAACTAAAATTATCGTTTTGAAAAATATCGTCTTTAGTTTATTAAATTAGTTTAAATTAGTTTAAGGAACAAAACTAATTTCAGATTTGAAGTCCTATACCCAAATTAGGTGAGGTCCAAGTACTTGTATAAATGCAACAAAAAATTTGTGCCTCAATGTATTAATTTAATAAAGGATTAGGTGCTTAATAGTAGAATTAATTCAAAGCAAAAATTTATTTTTTGTTCAGTGGAGTTCAATGTCCTAATAACAAAAGTGACATTTCTCGTAATTCTAACTATCCGCATGCGGAATTTCTGTTTAACCAAGTGAATGGTTTCTGGAGATCATTCAGATTTCAGTTTTTTGTACAGGGTGTTTCAGTGCAATGGTTACAAACAAAGATGATAGGTAGGCGATATCAAAAGGGTTTGGAAAATACACAACCCATCGTTGTAAACATCATTTCATTTTTCTAGCTGGTCATGCGCATTTGTATCCGTGTTCTTAATTGATCTGAAATCTTAAATTAGTGCCAATTTTACCTTTTCTATAATTTTTACTAGTTTCTAATTTATTGTGACACTTGTTGGTATAGAGCTTTCAAAAACACTATTTTCTGTTTGTAATTTATTTGTCGGTCCTTCAAATCTCTAAAAGCTTTGAACTTTATTGAGAAGTAAGAGAAATCTTATAACCTAAACTCATCTTAATTTATTAAATGATTTTTATAAATCTTTTTCGATAAAAATAAAAAAATGTATTAGTATAAAAGTGCTTAGATTATTTCATCCAAACCCTGTACCAGGGGTGGCGAACCTTTATGCACCAACGTGCCATTTTTTCTAAAACATTGCTTAATTTGGTCATAGTCAAACAATTTTGACTTCGTGATTATTGGGAAAATAACAACACTAAATACTATCAACTCAAAACTCTTTATTTACTATGAAAAAGAATACATTTCGCAATGTCTGAGTTAAACGCGTAATTCAACTTAAAGTAACATCAGTGTGACTTCTGTTGTTGCAGATTGGATGACAAATAACTTATATTAGGTTGTAAGATGTTATTTTAAGCAGGTCTGTTAATTTTTTTTTGCTAGTTATTTATTGTTAGCTTCTTTTTTATGGTAATTAATTGTTTTTTTGGCATTAATTGAAATTTTTTTTGTTAATAATTATTTATTTTTTTAAGCTTGTTTTTTTGAATTTTAATTTAATTGGTAAATTGTTTCACAGTGAACTTCGTGATCGGTGGCGTGCTCAAAATATTATGTGGCGTGCCATAAATGGCACGCGTGCCATTGGTTCGCCATCCCTGCCCTGTACTCATTATTCTCCTTTTATTAATAGTTTGAATCATGAGGAAATTCACTATCAACATACTCTGTATCTTTAAGTAGGTATCGTCATATATTTTATTTCTGACAGGCTACTACGATACCAAGAGATTCACCTCTGACGGGCAAATAACTTTAATGTTAATTGCCACTGAAGTAGGATTACGAGTTGAAGCAACGCAAATCACTGGTTATTCTGTCATTGTAGACTTTGATAACTTCAGCATAGAGAAAGCAAGACATTTTGGTACTCCAAGAGCTATCTACCGTATAATCATAACTATCTTGGTAATGTTTCAATTATCCAATTTTTCGTTTTATTAGAAAAATTATGTATCTTATGGAACTGTCTTGAAAAGTTAGAATTTTTCCCGTTTGTCTTATTTTATTAAAGCGTTGAACTGTTTTTGTGAATTTTAAATAACATAATTTGTAATTTTTTTAAGGCATTAAAATGAAATTTTAACTGGTAAATTTTTAGTCATCCCAGTTACCATCTCTTCAATATATTCAAATGCCTTTCATGTTATGTATGTACAGGCAGCGAAAAAAGAAAGGATTACTTTTATATATGATATTTTACTTTTATATACTTCTTTATATTATTTAAGATCTACTTTTATATAGGATATTTGCACATCTTATCGGATTTTTCTTTCTGTAAAATGTTTTACTAATATTTCAAAATTTTTTTTAAAATACGTACAAGAGTGAACTATAACCGTGGCGAAACATGCTTATTTTGACAAAAAAACGTCGTATTTTTTGAAGATATATAGCTTTTTTTTCATCAAATTCGGATTTATCAATCTCAAAACAGGGGGGAGAGACAAAGTTTCGGAATTTTCAAAACTTTCAAAACTTGTCAGTCGTTAATGAAAAAAAGCAAAAATGATGCAAAATAAAAATGTAAAGTTCTCAACAAAATATAGAAAATAACGGAAGAGGAAGACTCCAGTTAGTTATAAAATTGCTTCCATTTGTTTTAAAATTGCTAAAATCTTCACCCGTTTCGGCTTTAAAATCCTTTTCAGGTTTGTTATAAAATCAAATTTAAGTCTCTAAAAGATCGCTGAGACATTTATCACATTCCTTGTCAGTGCGACCTTAGTTACTAAACGCGTTTTAAAATTGAGACTAAAGGATCACGATATATTTATATCCCTTATCAAGAATTCGGGAAATCTTATAATGCTTCTCGTTTTTGGAATCTTGGGCATAAATTCAATTTAGAAAATGCTAAAATCATTTCCCCATCAGCTGATCTTGATGCCCTGGAATCTAATTTTATTTATGTGAATTATGATTCCCTTGTTAACGACATTAGTTCCTACCCACTTCTCCATAACATGTAGAAATGCCTTTTACCCTTATTTGCCTCTCAGCAACTGTGAGTTTCTCTGTTCAGTATTTCATATTTTTTCTTTCCCTTCTTCTGGGGTTTTTCTTGTTTTGTTTCTCACCTCCATTTTTCCATTTTTTGTTGGCAACTTTAGATTTTTATTTCAAATCATTTTGGTTTTTTTACATTCACCCCTTCCAAGTCTAGAATATGGGCGCCAACTTTTGTAGTGTTTGAAATATGTCGATTGCTTCTTCATATTAGTATATTTTTTTTAAGCGAAAGATGTTTTCAATTAAACAATATCAGTTTCTTTGGGGACTGATGCGCGTTGAATCTGTCGAGTCTCAAAGTCCTCCATGTTCCCCTAACAAATTAGATCTCAGAGGGTACTGATCCAAGAGTTACCTTGAATTCTGGGTGGTTTGTTGTTGTTGTTGTTGTTAATTTACGTCGCACTAGAGCTGCACAATGGGTTATTGGCGACGGTCTGGGAAACATCCCGGAGGATGATCCGAAGACATGCCATCACAATTTTGATCCTCTGCGGAGGGGATGGCACCCCCGCTTCGGTAGCCCGACGACCTGCGCGTGAAGTCGAGCACTTTACGGTAGCACAGTTTAACGAGGACCAATACCGCACACCCTCGTTCCCTACGCAGACTGATCCAAGTGGTCACCCACCCGCACACTGACCGTAGCCAGTGATCATTGACTTCGGTGATCTGCTGGGAACCGTGTCTTAACGATCAGTCCACTGCGGGACCTGGGTGGTTTGAAATTACAAGGCTGCGGAGTTGTACATTAGTAGTCGTAAACTCAAAATTGGATCGGCCGTTCAACGACGGTTATAATATAAAATGAAAAATATTAGTTTCTTTAGTACTTTCACAACTACAGTGCTATAGATGCCAGGCACTGCTGAGATGCCTGAAATGTACCGAATGGCACTTCACCTACGAGTGCAAAAAAAAGAAGGGTACACCTCTAAGTGCTGCAACTGGAACAAAGAACACACAGCCAATTTCTCTGGGTGCGAGGCCCGGTCCAGAAGAAAATTCTCATGACATCGGAAGGATTCTTCGCCTGTGTCATCCTCATCAAAAAACCATCATCAAAGTTACCATCATCAACTCTTAAAAATAAAGTTGTGATTTCATTTCTTAACACCATCTTACAGGGAAAGACCCCTGACCTCTTATGTTCTTCGACACACCAACGACTGCTTTCTACTACATCAAGTCTACAAACTCTTCTCCTCGCGTCTCTCGGAGCTTCGCACCGAATTTCCAATAAACTCTCACACAGATACATAGGAGAAGTAGAGCCCCACACAGGGCTGATACTTAGATAACTACTACATATGAGCACATTAATTTCAAAGCAAAAAAAGAAAGAAAAATCTAAACATTAAGATTCGATTGTTAATTCGTTCAATTTAAATGATTAAAATAAAAGAATTATCTCTGAAATAGAATGTTATGTTAATTGAGAGGAATACCATCAATTTGAAAAATGAAGTATCAGAATAATTTTTTTCTGATTTTTCGTAGATGGAGGAAATTTTACTAATACATTTTATTTATATTATTAATCTGGGGTCAGATAAATTTCATAAGGCGGATTAATAGCTTTAAACAATGAATAAGTATTGCTCTACTTTTTATTAATTTTATTTTTATGCGGTAACATTCACTTATTCGCGTGTATTTAATGGCTACGCAATGAATTACTTAAAGACAACACAATTCTCCAGTGATGCTTTACGCAAATCCGTTGCTACTAATGCTCAATATCAACGATTTTCCTGTTTTATGCCAAGTGTTCATTCATCTTAGCAAGCCTCCCTCATTGTGCCAGAATTTTCTAAAATTTTGTTTAAGGGATTATTCTTGAACTCGAAATCGAAAGCAATAAAAAATAAATTCTTATGTTTCATCAGAGAACATGCGTTTCTTTTTTTTGTTGGTCAAAATAAGCATATTTCTCTACGGTTGCAGTTTTTTATAATCTTCACTACTGAAGTATAAAGGAATACAGCTATAAAATATTTTGCAGTTCCTAATTTCTATCTTACTGTCATAAATCATAAAAAGATAAACAAAATATGAATTATACTGCCAGAGGGCCTATAATTTTCGGTCTACATAGGTGTACCTCTAGTTTTAACTAGGTAAAAGAATATAAATATTTCAAGTGTTAAATTGCAACTTAAGTAGGAACAAATAAGCAAATTGTTATATTATGATCTATTTAAAAACAATGATGAACAAGTAATAATTATTCAGAAAGAAATTACATTTTAAAAATACGAAGTTTTATCTAAGTACAATGGAATACTGCATTATTTTTCAGTTTCAAAACTATTTTAATTAAGCAAACGACACAAAATAAACAATTAGTAAAAATAATCTAATATTGAATATAAAAAAGTATTTAATTCTTGTGGGTGAAATTTCAAAATTATGGAAAGCAAACACAAAAAGTTAATTATTAAATGCATGTACTTTAAAACAATTAATTAAAATGCGCATAGAAATATTACTAAATAGATATAGAATTAAATACTTATAATGCTATAAGATTTCACTTGTCTACTACGCTATCATTAATTTTGCCATAGACGCCAAGGTATTTCGCCATACATACCAAGGTTTCACCATATACATATGTGAACCTGCATGTTCTTAACAGTATTATTTTTAAATATTAAGTAAATGTAAACTTAAAAGTTCAATACAGATCACAGAACTACTAACTCAAAAAATAAAAAAAAATTGGAAAAGCTAAATTCCAGGTATATATTTAAAATTACTTACGTTTTCGGGCACGTGGGTTTAGCGTCCTTTTTCTAACATTTATTCTGTTTATGTGGAATTCTACTCTAATAACTTACATGTTCTGGACTTTTTGGAATGCCCAGAAAGTCTAAGCGTCGACGAATGTTTCAGTGAAGGTAAAACCATAGATTTTTCATAGCCTGTATTTAGAACAGAAGGTCAACATATGTGAACAGAGGTAATGAAAAGGATACAATTTAAGAGATTTGTTTGAGATATTACCATAATACTTTACTGAATGAAAATCCATTCAAAAGTTATGAGGGTACTCCCTTTTATTTCTTTATTTTGCTGATTCTTTATTTTGTATATTTTATTTCTTTATTTTGTATATTTTATTTTCAACCAGAGGAGCATGCCTTGTCGAATTAAATCCTATCACATTGTAAATGAAGCAAGATTTGTAAGTGGAATGTTGAGCGTTGGAATGCATCTTGTGTCAAAGAAATTAAGGAAAAGAGTAAGTCTGAAATTTGAGTACACCCTCAATTTTTTTAATCATAAAATGCATAATGATGCACAAATGTTTCGTTACATTAGCCGTTTTATTTTATCCCATTAACCCCTTGGGGACGGGTGATTCAGAAAAGCATTCGTATAAAATCAGAATCAGGATGTAATTAAATAAAAAACGGTAACTTAAATGTAGTCGTTGCTAATTTGACAGGCTTACTTTGCTTTTACTTTAAATATTGTTAGCTTAATCATATATATAATCAATGTTAGATCAAAGTATAACTAAATAGTTTTATTTTGAACAAAGTAATAGTGAATTAAATAAATCAAACAATTATAACTCCGCCCACAAATAAACTGCTAAAGAATTACTTTGATTACCAGTTTTATCTTTTTACCCTGATTGATACAGGTTTATGCTGGCACGCATTTGTGACGGTCGGAGTGAAAGGGTTAATGCCCCCGCGGCCATAAATTTTGTAATAGTATAGCTGCCAATTTCACCAAGGAAATCTTTTCATAGTGATGCAGTTCGTATAAATGCTGTTTATTAAGAAAAAAAAGGAGCAGAAATTAATTGCGTGTTTCATTAAATATTATGTAGAAATTAGAGCGAAAATTTTATTATCTTGTCAGCCAGAAATAAATAAAATTTTAGTTGAGAATTATTTATTTTATTTTATCGCAAGTGACAGTCAAACTTCATTTCAGATTCATTTCCATGGGAGAGATTTGGAGAGTCTTCACAAATTCTTATCACCAGAAATCCTTCCAGAAGAGTATGGAGGACAACAAGGGCCCTTGAAGAAATACGCAACAGCATTTGGGGAAAGAGCTTTGAGCCTTGAAGAACATTTTAAGGAAATGAACAAATATGGATACAAGGGAAAAACTCTTGAAAAACTCAGGAAGTGAATTTCAAATTTATGTAAACTGAATTGGATTTTGCGGCAATGATAAGCTCAAAATTGCGTTTATTACAAAAATGGTAAGGGTTGCACTTAAAAAATGAGAGGTAGTTAGATCACCATCGCACATAATGTACTACATATAGTGTATTCTAATAGAAGAAGTCAGAAGCTTATACGACTTCAATTTGTATTTTTAATCACAAACAAATAGTACAAAGAGTTCATTGATAAGTGCTAATTTCTCTCTTCAGGCTTAAAATAAAAACTTTTTTGTTATTTAAAAGTAGAATTTTTTATTATTTAATGTGATCGAAATTCCAATTCGGAATTTCTAATTTCATCGAATCTTTAAATATTGATTTTATATCAGTTTTTAACTGATCAAGGTGATCAGTAAAAATCAGGATTTTATTTTCAAGAATCTCGATATCTGCCATTGAACACTTTTTAAGAGCTGGAAATTGCATTAGCTCTTTGCGACCCATGTTTGACTTGTATATATCAAACTTGGCAATGAATGAAGATATGATTCCCTTAGCCTTGATTATGTTAATTTATGTCCTTGAAGTTTTGCGTTGATTTCGTTCATTTTTTCAAAAATATCCTTGAGGTACGCAGTTTCCAAATTGCGTTGCTTCAAACTCTCACTTAAAGTGATCAGTGGTGTCGAGAAACTCAGTAACCGAGTCAAACAATTCGAAGAAACGGCGCAAACAGTTTCCTTTTGAAAGCCATCTCACAGCTGTATGTAGGCGCAAGCGTTCGAAATCTTCATCCTTTTCATGGCAAAGTTCTTGGAACAAACGGTCATTAAGAGAATTAGCTTTGAATTTATTGATGCCAGAAATAACAAATTGTAAAGTGTCAGGCAGGGCACCACTCAACTTTTTTTGCAGCCAAATGTTGACGATAAATGACACAATGAATGGTGATAACCTCCGGTACTTCTTTTTTAAGGTGTGCAGGAAACCCAGTATGACGACCAGACATGGCAGGAGCACCATCTGTTAAACAGGCACTTACAGTTGTAAGGGAAATTTATTTTTCCTCAAAATAATCTTTGACCAATTTAAAAATCGACGACCGTTTTGTATCAGTGATCAACGTTTTTGTTAACAACATTTCCTCGTTAATCTCACAGTTGATTCATCAATCTGCAACGCAAATTTACCTTCTTTTAAAAATTTGATGAGTTTTGATTAATGCGGCAATCTTATCAATTCGCCTGAATACAGTATTGCGACACTGATGTCTGGAGTTTTCCTGAAAACCGCTGAGTTATCTAGTGATAAATGTTTCGTCTATTAATCCTTTTCTCCTATTACATGCCTTTTAAAATCGGAGGTATAGGAATGAGACGAGAGAGGAGCATTTGAGGAGAAGAAGGTATATAAAAGACTATGACTTTCAACAAAAGAGAATTCCTGAGGGTCTGATTTCCGCTTGAGATACCAAAACGTATGACGAAAACGATCCGGAACATTAAGTTTTTTAATTTTTAGCTATCATAATTCTTTGTCTACACCAGAACCATAAGTTTTCATATATGTTTTCCATTTCGATCTCAAATAGCTTTTGTTATTAATATTTTTCAGCAATTTTTATCTTTTGAATACTCGTCGCCCCCTGATCGCCCCCCTAAGGATTATCGCCCCCTTGAGGTGCTCTATTGCCCGCAGATTGGGAACCACTGGTCTAGAGTATCAGTAAAAAAAATTCTAATAAATAAAGATCTCGAAGCTTAATAAATTTTCAAATAAAAATACAGATCAACAGAGATGCTTAGTATAGGTCCTGTGATAATAGGTTTTTTATTACTGCTTTGCGTTGATTTCTTTAAAATATGCACAAATTAAACGATCGTCTTAATTTTCGTCACTAGATGCATTGAAAGAGTTTACGAAAATCGACTGACGATTATCGGTACGTAAAGCTTCAAGTGGAAGTAGAAGAGCTAAGCTTTTCATTGTATACTTACCATGAACTACAATACTTAAAGACGTTCCACTCTGACGTAAACATGACTCTAGTCTAAAAATTTCTCATGACCATACGGGCTCCTACGCCCTCTAGCATAACTCAAAATGAAATTATTGGTTGATACAGAGATGCGAACTTGCTCCCGACAGAAAATATATATTTTAAAGTGGTAGTTTATAAATTTTGATTCTTGGTTTAATAAATTCAATTTAACAGATTTTTATCCACCACTACTTCTAAAAAATTCGTAGGGTTATATAATTCACCACCTAATACTATTAATGTCCCGCCATACCTTCTAAAAAGCAAGCAAATATAATCAAATATTTGAAAAATTTACAGTTATTTACCGCTATTTAATAATTATTTTGGCGTGTCCGGAGCGGTATGCATCTCTGGTTTATATTATAGATTATAATTGATACTCTACGATTATACTTTAGTGTGTAAAATAATTTTGTTTATTTTCGAATGATTATATCAAGAAAGATGATTATATTTGTAATATGAAGGAATAAAATGTACTTATCTGGTATAATTAGTTCCATAGTTAAGTTTTGTCTGCTTCATTACAATAAATTTTCTTTTGAATGAAAATGCATTTGCGTGGTTTTTCTTAATGTTATAAATTATATCATATTGAGAATTTAGGTTGAAAGATAAAATATTCTATTTAGTTTCAATCCTTTATTCTGGATTTTAGTTCTATTATAAGTAAAAAGTGTTTCTGACATATTAGCTACTCTTGCTTATTTTATTATGTCGCATAATAAATCCTTCTGTAAATAGAGAAAAGAAGAAAAAACTACATTTTCAACACTTTTCGGAATTTATTATTTATTTTAAAAGGAGTGTTGACGCATGTCATTGACGTAAACAGTGAACTCCACCACCCAGGATTTGGACTGGAATCGGTCCGTGGATAAGACGCCTCCGAACAACCCAAGGAACATTAAATTACTAGTGGGCTGGGCCCCCTGCTCGCTAACGCTCGCCAACCCCGAAAATTGCTACGCAATCTTATATGGTTTGTTTCACAAACCAAGCTCGCTTCGCTCGCTACTAACTTAGGTTCATTGCAAATGCAAAAAATTCTAAGAATTCAAAACAATCATTTAAATCCATATAACAACTTTTTTGTAAAAAAAATTTACATCTTTTTAGTAAATACTAAGTCATTAAAATAAATTTGAATTCCAATAAATGACATGTAATTCGTTAAACCTATTAGAAATGTGCTATAGTATAAAATCTTGAGATAAAATTTCTAAAACTGATATCTCTTTAAAAAGGTTAAAATTTTGGCTGTAACTAAGTCTATTAAAAATAGAAATAAGCGAATTGCAATGGAAAAACCTACATAAACAAATAAATTCTAGTAAAACAAATAAATTCGTGATATAAATCAAAAATCGTCAAATAAATTCGTAATATATAAATTCATGAAAAAAAAACGCGTTCGACAAAATACTAAGATAGAGATCTATCAACAAAGACAACTCATTTCTGCCTAGCTGATGCCCTCTCTGGTTATTTCAGTTTCCGTTTTTAAAAGCGCTATATATTGAGCCATCTCAGCTAGATTTGGCATGTGACATTTTTAGCGGCAATCATTGGTCGATTTTCTAGCGTTGCCATTCGGGGAGTTGTAATGAGGCTTTTTTT